TTGCTAAGGTCAATGTACATTGGATTAAGACCCGGATTTTTCTTAACATCTAAACTCAGTTGAAATTTACAATAGTTTCTGACTCTTATAAAGACACAATGGTCTATTACAAGAAAACATTGATAAATACCACCTTGCTCTATACTTCAAATTCATTATCCTCTGATGCACCCTCACTGAACAATTCAACAAATACTTCCTATCATGTTTTGTAACTTTATCTAATGTTATCCTCTTCCTATTAAGCTGACAAATATTCTTTGTAACTCTTCTAACCTTCACATAACGACGTAGCTTAGAGGACTTCGGTATGCTCGGACGAATACGCTCATAAACAGATTCCTTCAGTTTTCTGCCCTTTCTTCTGAGACGTTTCAGAGCAGCTTCTGGTATTCTACTGGGTTCGCGATCACGTCTAATTATACGGTTGTGTTTGCATGTAAACATAATATGACATAACTCGTTTGATATAGCAGATTTCGCTTGATATTTCTCGATAAAAGCTTCACACGTAAAGGATCGCTCGTAAATTGATCTCTCGTAAAGTGCGCGGAACGACCCGTTCCCAAAGCGCTCTACAAGTTTTAGTTCGGTTCTACCGCGAACAGTGTGTGACTTTGTATATACATTGGGCGTAATAGTGATCGAATTTCTTTCGGGTACATCAAGCAAGGAATTTTTGAAGAAGGCAGCCATTGCTTTCTTACTTTAAACCATACGCTCTAGGGTTCATTCTACGCATGCGCTTACATTTTGCGCATGCGCTGTAGTGGAGCTGCGTTTTGTGACTGAACGCAAAAAAAAAACAAAACAGAAAACAGCCGAATTTATACCTCGGGCGTTTCCTTCGGAAGCCTGAGTAATGATTGCATTAGGTAGAGACCTGGAGCCACTTGCGGACTCAATTTCTAATTATACGTTATCCTTGCTCTTGAACGTGATAAATTGACAGATCACGGTATCTTTTAAAGGTGGAAGATTGACTCCGATACGAAAACCAGTGTATTTAAAAACTTTTTCATTTTTTCGGACCACATTTGGTATCTGGGCAGCCGAGCTCGATTCATGTTTTCCAGCTGTTTAAGTCTCAGTTCTTTTTGTTTCTCGCATGGAATTATGACCTATTCATCATAATGTGGAGTTAAGAATCGTAATTTGTTTAATTTCTTATTTTCTCAAATTGCAAGTTTCTTGGGAAAAATCAGCGGGTGAAGAAAATCTTTATTAAATAATAAATTTACAATGATGCGGAACGGATCAAATTTTAGTCAGCTGGAACTCTAGCGTGGTTTTATCAACTGAGTTGACAATTTATTATATATTTTTTTAACAACTGAGTTGATAATGTAAATTGGTCACCGTTACGAGTTTAAAAGCTGACGTTTCGAGCTCTAGCCCTTCGTCAGAGCGCTTGAAGTTTTGAGTAGAAAAGTTTCTGGATTGCGAGATGTTAGCTTTAGAAATAAAATTTTATGGTAGATTCCGAATTTTCACAAACAGTCTTACTTTCAGAGAGGAAAGGAAATATTTGCTTGATGGTGGTTAAAGACGTGGTTTTTCATCCCTCCTCCTCCCCTTGTCCCAGCCACTCCCCTTTTTCAGATCATTGGATTGTATTTTTGGCGTTTTCAGTGCCCTCACCTTTACTGGGCCAAACTTCATATCAAGGATTTGATTGAACAGTAATTTTAAATAAATGCGGCTATGGGATTTTGCCCATAGCCATTTACTCCAATTGTTGATTGGTTATAATTTTGCCCAGTAGACATAGCTCAGGCAAGGCAGCATATTTGGGTTGTTCATATAATTTATAAGGGAGAAGAGGCATAAATGAGATTTTTGTGACACGATCAATTTTTTTTTTTTTTTGTTTCTTTCTTTTTACTTGAAGTTGCTGTATTTGCAAAATCAACTGTCTCGATCTGTTAATTTTGTCCACATGTCTCAGTCTGCTTATAGAACTGGCTTTATTTCCCGCAATTTCTTCAAGTGAGATTAGATCTTCACTGACGTAAATCTGATAGAATTGAATCTTTTCCATCTCATGCACCAGCAGTTGGAGGGCATATGGTATTACGAGGACTGGACTGGACTAGTAAGACGCGGACTTACAAAACGTGGACTAGTAAAACGAGGATTAGTAAAACACGGACTAGTAAAACGCGGACCTAATTTTTTTCATGTTTCTCCGTGTTTGTAAATCGAATAAAACCTAACAGTAACGGACTTCACGACAACAACAACAACAACAAAAACAATTTCATACGAAGGCGATTACAAGACTTAATGGCGAGCTAAATTTAAAATTTTGTCCATTTGATGTTATGCTGATTCATTTCGACGGTTTAGTTACTGACTATCCCTGTTTGACCTGTACGCTACAAATGGGTTTGAAATGCGCCGGATACAAACGATTCTATAAGTTTAGGCTAGGAAAGAATTTTATTCAGCACCAGTTCAAAATCCTAATTTTGTTTCATTGAATCGTTCAGCAGCCAGTTGAATAACTTTTTTCATGTTTTTTCATGTTTGTAAATCGAATAAAATTAAACGGTAACGAACAGAACAAAAAAAAAATTCATACAAAGGCACAAGACTTAATGGCGAGTAAATATTTGCATCCAGAAATGAACGTAATTGTTTTGTTATAGCAATAAAAACTGCATAACTTTGGAGACGCGAGCCGACAATTTTCGTTTTCTAACGCAACTAAGTTAAGATACTTTTACTTGGCCAACAATACAAGATGCTTCACAAATCTCTGAACAGTTCAACGACATCGATAAAAATTAAAGGTCTTCCTCGAAATAAGAGGTATCATAACTGCTAACAGCAACGGACAATACAAATCTACAAATGAGATTTATATTGTAATTTAGCGTAAATATAATCAGTAGTAATAATCTGAGATGCTACAGCTCAACGGCGTCAATAACAATAAAAGATTCGTAGTCTTCAATCTCATGCTTTCAAATACTCGGGACATGATATGGTGACGTGGTCGTGACAGACCCCAGTCCAACTAGTAGCTTACCGCAAACCTTTGTTCGATCATCTGTTTGTGTTCTTGGAGAAGAAACGGTTGACCCATTTCCGTTTCCTGTAGCAAAATAAGGGACCGTCGCTCAATACATATATGTTATTCACCAGCATAGGTCGGTCCGTATTGGGAAAAACTGTGCCTGAGGTCTACCTCGAAACAAGAGGTATCATAACTGCTAACAGTAACGGACAATACAGTAAAAGAGTACCTCCCGGTACTCAAGACCGAGGGCACAG